GTCTGATACTTCACAGAGTACAGAGGAGGTTATGGTAAGAAATACGAATATGTACACAATTGTGGTGTAAAATGAGAAGAACATGATATTAGTTCCCGTCCATGTAAAATGAGGGCATTATGGGATCTCTGTGGAATTGCTTGCTAGTTGCTAGTGTTCTGGGTGTGTGATTTTTGGCCCAAGTGAAAATATCCCTCCCCCAATTCTCTGTGGCCTCTATGGGAATAGCACTGTCATTGAAATGCATGAGTGAGTCCCATCAGTTATTATTGTTGTTCTGTGTGTCTACAGAATTACAGGAGGCACTCTTAAAGTCACAATGGGTTACAGAGATAACCATACAAGCATTTAGGCACAACTGCAAACTAGAAAAACACTACCATTCAAAAGTTTGGGGTCAAGAAGATTTTTTTTTTTTCTAAAGAAATTACTTTTATTCAGCAAGGATGCATTACATTCATCAAAAGTGACAGTAAAGACATTTATGTTTCAAAAGATTTCTATTTCACACAAATGCTGATGTGTTTTTCAAAGAATTCTGAAAGTATCACAGTATTCACAGCAAATATTAACTGTGATAATAAGAAAAAATCCTTGAGTATAAAACCAACATATTAGAATGATTTCTGAAGGATCATGTGACACTGAAGACTGGTGTAATGACTCCTGAAAATGTAGCTTTACCATCACAACAATAAAGTACATTTTTAAATATTTTTATTTTAAAATAAAAAGCAGTTATTTTAAATTGTAATAAAATTCCCAATATTACTGTTTGATAAAAATTAATGCACATGTAATTTATTAATGCAAATAAAAATAAAAAATCTGCTCAACCATATAATTTTGAACTGCAATATGTAAAATATAGCCCTACAAACATTTTTGTTGTTGTTATAACATTTGTGTTATTGTCAGTTATTTTTGACCCAACTAATATTAGAATTGAGGTATTGATTACTGTATTTCCATTGTTCCAACGGTACAAGTTGTACATACTCTTTTTTTTGGGTTTGTTTTTGTTCACCAGCTGACGCCTGCTGATAGCTCCTCTCTGTCAGACTTCAGCAGTGAACCAGCGCTCTACTTCTAAACCTTCCAGATGTCTGGAAAATACGGGACCAACCGTTGCCTGCCTGCTAGCACCAGCCTGGATGCAAAGAAACAACTTTCAGAACAATGGGACCAGTAGCAACCAGCACGTAAACTTACATTCTGTATTCCATGTCTGTGCGCCATCATCCTCAACAGCAGGACTGTCCTCATAGCTGGTCCACGCAGCAGATGTATCACTCACATCCGCATGTGACCTCCTGTTGCCACCGATTGTGATTGTGATGGACTCTGTTAACATGGAAAATGGCTCAAATAGCCATTCCACTCTTGAATTTCACTCTTTCATCACATACTTGCTCTTTGTATGTAATCCTCACCTCATGAAAGTGACCAAATTTCTAAAAGAGAGAAAGATGAAAGACTGTCCTTAAAATAGAGAAGGAAACTTGAGTGGGTGTAATGGGACTCCAGAAAGAGGACAATAAGAGGGTGAAGCAACAAAAAATGAAATGAGTGACTTGTTTATGTATGACTGGTAAAAGGGTGCCACAATCCTTGTTCTTTGTGATGTTTTTGTATGTGCATGTGTAGGTCTGTATTGACATGACTCCCAAACTATAGAAGTCCTCCACTTTAGTTTCATTTGTATGCCTGTGTTTCGTTCAAGGTAGTCATTTTTGATGCACAGACCGATATATACTATACAGCTGAAATACTAACAATATGTTATTCTAGATCAGTTTTATAGAGCAGCTCTTAATTGGTGAGCTGGCAAGCTCATTGATTTTTTTTTGTGCTTTTTTCATGGTAATAGAATTTATTAATCACTCAACATTTTATTCATAATTGGTCATCATTTGGATCACACATGCAAACATAAATGCAGTGAAGACATGCCCAGGTTACATTTCACCCCAAACTAAAAAATAGAAAATATATTTTGCTTAAAATTAAGGCTGTTATTAGAACCACCATTGTGACATTTTTGTTATTACATTTAAACATGTTTCCTTCCTACGTTCTCATTTTTATAATGCATGTGAGTTTTCTCCCCCATTATTATTATAATCTAGTGTTTTTACACAAAAAAATACTGCAGTGCATAATTGAAATACAGTTTTTATTGTATTATTAAATAATTTTTCACATGATGGTAATGATAACTTCTGTGGAATGGGTTTTGCCTAATTATTCACCCTCTAATACTGTTTAAGAAAAATATAATACATTATATTTATTTATTTATTCCTTTGCTTTTGGAGTGAAATATGACCTGGAAGTGTTCTTGACAGAGATTTATGCTGTGCGAAATTGCAGTAGCATTGACCTTCATGTATTTTAGTATGTCAGTTTAAGCAGTTTGTCAATAACTGTGCTTAAAGGGTTAGTTTACCCCAAATTTTTTGTCATTAATTACACACCATCATGTTACCTTAATTTTATAAAGCTACGAGAATACTTTTTGTGCACAAAAGAAAAAAAAAAAAAACACTTTATTCAACAATTAGTCTCCTCCTAGCCCCCTAGCGCCATTTTGGAGAGTATCCACTGAACGTAAATTGCGTATGCTGTTTTGTGTCAGCTGCGCCACGCGGATACGTTGTTTTCATTCAAATCAAAACGTAAACAGCATATTGCGGTCTATGGGAGGGTCAGAGAGCTCTCAGATTCCATCCAAAATATCTTAATTTGTGTTCCGACGATGAACGGCAGTCTTACAGGTTTAGAACGACATGAGGGGGAGTAAATAATGACAGAATTTTCATTTTTGGGTGAACTATCCCTTTAAGTTTATATAATTATGTGTTTTGGACTGGACATTCTTACAGTACGAATGGGGAGCGGTCAGTTTTAGTTATGAAGGAAACATTATTTTGTGGGTTTGTGAGTGAGCACGCTGTATGCATGGGCTGTGTGTGTGTGTGCGAAACATGAAGACTACATACACACAATGCCAACTGACTTGAGTGTGTCAGATCTGTTAAATGGCTAAGGTGTATTTGCTCACGTATTCTCCACAGCCTCTCCGACCAGTATTGATGTATAGTTTGTACTCTCCAGGTTGAAGTTTTCATAATTTATTTCATGCATCTTTTATCACTTTTTCATATTTTTAGTCACAGGGCAAACAGTAGCAACGATCTGCTTTGGGATAGTTTTTTTAAATATATATATTTGACATCATGTACAAAGTTACATGAGTGTTGCTAGGACAGCTTACATCTTAGTCCTGTGCTTTTGTATTCATTCATTTGCACTGTTTTGTTTTTGCTTTATTTTGCACCATACGCAGCTCTTGGTTGGAATAATGCCTTTTAGGAATTACTTTCATATTGTAATTTATTTCACAAAAATGTATGTGTCCATTAAGAGCATAACATCGACTTGAAGCACCAGCTTTTCAGCTCAAAACTGCTGATCAACATTTTCTGCCCATTTTCTTTAAGACACTGGCTTTGTTCACACTGTACACAATTCTGAATATCTGTGCTGTTATGGTGAAGAAGTTGGATCCATTTGTTCAAACAGTGTAGTCAATATCTGTTTATATCTACATCAGTTGCCATAAACTTAACCATTGGCATCTGCTTGTGGATGTCAGGAGTTGATTGTTCTTATTCTGAAAGTAATGAATTTGGATCCAGTTCAAACAGTGTAGTCTGTATCTGGTATATTTACATCAGTTGCCACTGATGTCAGCTTGTGGATGTCAGGTTTTTATTGTTCTTTTAACAAAAATCTTACATTAAATGTTTTTTTTTTTCCCCCCAGACAAATAACTAAACAATGCACTGCCATTCAAATGTTTGGGGTCAGTAAGATTTGTTTTTTTTTTTGTAATACATTTATTCAGCAAGGATGCAAAAAAAAAGAGAGCAAAATTGACAGTAAAGACTTTCACGATGTTACTAAAATTTCTATTTAAAAAAAATCTTTTGAACTTTCTATTCCTCAGGGAATACTGAAAAGGGTTTACAGTTAACAGAAAATGTTACTCGAGAAGCATATTGGATTTTTTTCTGAAGGACTATGTAACACTGAAGACTGGACTAATGGCTGCTGAAATGTAGTTTTACCATCATAGGAATAAATAGAAAAAGAAAATATAGAATACAATAGAAAATTATTTTAGGTTGTAATATTTCACAGTATTACTGTTTTTACTGTATTTTTGATCAAATTCAGCATTGGTGAGCATGAGAGACATCTTGCAAAAACATGAATATCTTACTGACAGTTTGTATTTTGAGTCTTTTTGTTTGTTTTTTGAGTTTTTTTTTTTTTTTTTTTTGAATGGTAGTGTATTTGTGTGAGGGGAAAACAAAACTTTTTTGCTGCCTGTCTGAACAAAGCCTTTGAACCTGTGTTTTTATATATCACATAATTAAGGGCAAATTTTATTTAAGAGAATGTTGAAATAAGGCTATTTCACCAAGTGTTAGAATTCCGCCAAGTCTTACTGTACATTCTAGTTCAGTACATCACTCTAGCACTCGGCTTATCATCCCAGTCTACAGCAGATCCTCCAGATATTCTTTGCAAACATTAAATATTCTTGAGGGATGTATATTAGACATTCAGAGGGTTGGGAACTATTGCTTTTGTGTCTTACAAAATGTAATGCCACTTCAAGTGCTTCATTAGTTCCTGTAACTCTAATCAAGCTGCTCATTGCTCTGGTGGTTAATGTACTGTATGTCAAAACTTTTCCTCATCCTTTCTGTTTCTTCATCAAGAGTATATTAAATGTACAATTTGGTTTTGATGAATTTAGAGGGGAAAAAATGTCAAACAAAGAAATGTTCAATAAACAATTGAAAGCTATAAGGTGTTCACAATTTATATTGGGGATAATATTTACATACAGGAATTCCCTTTAAAAAAAATCACAACTTATCTTTATTAAAACATTACATTTAAATAAAAGCATTATATTAAACACTAATCCATATCAAAACATTACAAACCTTTACATTACATACAGAACTTCCAAATAGGAATGAGTTGTGTGATGATTACAAGAGGGGATGCTGGTAAAGATGAAAGAGAAGAAGTGAGAGAGGAGATTAATGGAATATAGTCATAGATAGATGATAGATGGGAGAAGATAGATAGATGGAACATTCTGCATTATTCAATGATCTTTGCTGCTTCTTGGTTCAGTGGCTTTGGTCAGATTCCCCGTTTCCTTCTTCAAAACACTCAAAAGTGTCTGAGAGCTTTCAAGAATCTGAGACAGAGAGGAGAGGTTTAGTCAAACCATAATGACAGACAAAAAAAAGAGAGACTAAAGTTCAGAAAAGTTTAGCAAATGCTATAAAAATTCAATTTAAACATAACCGAACCACATAATAATAATAAAAATAAAATTGTGTAATTAACCTCTGCATCAATTTTGACTAGGGATGTAACGATTCACTCAACTCACGATTCGATTCGATTCACGATTGTTTTTTTACAAAATGAGATTTAAGACAAATTATAAATTAAATGTGTCCTTTTATTATTGCTTGGACAAAATGCTGCACGTTTCTTCGTGAAATTGAAATATAACACTATAATAATATACTAATATAGCACTTGCATATTATTGCTCTTTTGTTGGTTTTGATTGCTTCTATTGTCCTCATTTGTTAGTTGCTTTGGATAAAAGCGCCTGCTAAATAACAAAATTTTAATATAATGTAAATGTATATAACAAAACTAAATAGAAATTTTAAAACCAAATAATAGTTTTGGCACGATTCTTTTAAAACGCGCATGCAAATTTAATTTACGCTTACAGTCTTATGTACACTTCCACAACTCTCACCCTGCGTATGCAAATCTTTTTGATGTCATTCTACCTTCATACATTTTGACATAATTTTGTATGTATTTAGCCGTTTAAGCGCAATAAGGCGCAACACAACTTCATTCTGTAGACGCACACTCTCAGATGCGGCTCTATGTGTGCGCTTTGGGTGTGAGCTTACAGAAAGGGGTCTCACAGAGAGCGCGCAAGTACTGAATTGAGCACTTGAATGCTTAAAATGGTAAAACTCAAAAGCACGTGCAAATGATACATTCCGTCATCTGTCCCGAGCGTCTTTCACGCTGATATACTTGCAGGAATTTCCCGCGTTACAAGTGCGGAAACTGCGGGAATCAGAAGAATTCTGAGCAATCCCGCACCGAAATTCAAGCCCTGCTTATTAAGGAAGGTTTCTGTCAAACAAATTAATAGTATTAAAAGGGCAGCTTTATTGTTGAACAGCTCACAGGTATGTGAAGCTGCTGGTGTAACAATGGATATTTTTAATAGCTGTCCTTTAAATACAATTAATTTGTTAGGGGCCAAAGAAAACGACGTCCACGATGGCGGAAGGGATCACCCCTATTGTATCCGTTAGTTCCATTTTGAGCATTCACTCAAAATTGCGAAGCATTCGCTGTGGAAACTCCCCTTCTCTGAAATTCCTGAAACCTTATAGGATAACGTCAGTAAAATAAACTGGCCAATTGTTGCTAATTATGCAAATCACATGCAAATACTGACAAGCCTTAGGGCAGTATATAATGTGGTCAAAGCGACAATTGTCTCAGAATCTTCTCCGTCATGCTGCCATCATCGAAGATGATTAAAGGGATAATCTTTAATCTATATGTAATCTAAATGTTAAAGGGATAGTTCACCCAAAAATGAAAATTGTCATAATTTATTCAAGTTTTTCCAAATTCGATCCTTGATTCAAATTTCTCATAAGCTTAAAGGGGTCATATGATGCTTTTTTAAAGATCATTATTTTGTGTATTTGGTGTAACAGAATATGTTGACATGCTTTAATGTTCAAAAAACACATTATTTTTCAAATACTGTACATTATTGTAGGTCCTCTATGCCCCGCCTCTCTCAAACGCTTAGTTTTCTACAAAGTCCCTCCTTCCGACAAGCGCAGTCTGCTCTGATTGGCCAGCTGACCCAATGCATTGTGATTGGCCGAACACCGCAAGCACTCGCCGGAAATGTAACGCCCCTTACCATAATCGCGAGCTTCATCTTTCAAAATAATGTAAAGACAGTAAATAATGTCATTAGTTTTACCATCAGTTCAAGCCCGAAAGGGGAACAGAGTCGCGTGACAGACACAGTGATGAAGCTGGTATGTTTGCAGTACACAAGCCACGGTCACAAGACAGCTGACTACTGTGATGTGTGACCCTGTCTCTCTCTCTCTCTCACACACACACACACACACCTTTGGTTTTGAGACTTTAGTCTTTGCAACTTCAGGGATCTTATCTATGCACAATCAGCTTGTAACACTCCAAAGAGAAAGGAAAACTTGAAATCGCATCATAAGACCCCTTTAATTGATTTAGTCTAAAGAGAGAATTAATGATTATTTTTGTTTGAAGACTACATATCAAATAGCTACCAAAATAAATGTTGGTAACTGCAGTTTGGCTAAAAGTAATGACTAAAAGTTGACAAAAATGCAATGACTTTTCGTCGACTGAAACTAGACTAAAACTATGAAAGACTCAAATGACTAAAATGTGACTAAGACTAATAAGCATTTTCGTCTCAAGATAAAGACTAAGACTAAATCAAAAATGCCTGTCAAAATTAACACTGATCCGAAGGACGGTGTCTTTTACAGTACAGTGTCCCCATCACTATACAGACCACAGGGTGAGCACCCCCTGCTGGTCTCACTAACACCTCTTCCAGCAGCAACCTAGTTTTCCCAGGTCTCCCATCCAGGTACTGACTAGGCTCAACCCTGCTTAGCTTCAGTGGGTAACTAGTCTTGGGCTACAGGGTGATATGGCTATGGCAAATTAATAAGTCGTAGGAACGAATTCTTAATTCATAGCCACAAAATCTTTCAAATTCTCGCATGTTTACCACAGTAAGAGATGCGAAAACAGGGATTAAAAGGGAATGACAAGAAAACAAGCCTGCGAAGTTAGAGGTCGAGACGGTTAGGATTTGGGAAAAGAAACAATAAATATTATTAAACTCGTGGAAAGTCGTGACCAACCCGCAAAACAGAACACAAAGCCTTGTATGGGTTAATTTAAATTTATGGGCTCGAACGGCATGAATCGAAAAGCATGGTCACGATGTAACATTTGCCTGCTAACCAATTATTTCTCATAAAAAACTAAGCTTTGTACCTCACTTGTGTCATAATACTTACATAAAAATATTTAATGTGAGCAACAGTGTGTTTTGCCGTAGCAACTCCAGTGGAAGCGGTTCACTGACAGCGCAGCACAGCCCCACGCGCTGTTCTTACGTTTGGTATCATTTTAAATATCGATAATGTCAACTGCAAACATTGCGATTGTGTTTTAAAATACAACAACGAGCTCCATGAAACCATTTAAAAAGGCACATTCAGTGGTCTCCGTGAGAGGATATGGAACAGCCAACAAAGTAAAATGATCCCAAATGTAACTACGGCGCTCTCTCTTCATTTTATAAAATGATCATTATCACATCTATTAATTTTACAATTCTGCTACTAGCCTTTTATTTAGACTAAAAATCCCTTTCATTCAGGTGAGGAAGCTGGCGTTTTGAATGGCATTTGCACATCCTGTCATGCCGGTGACTATATGCCACTGCAATAGACGCAGCATTATAAAGGTTAGCGATTAATCAGTTAATTGATCGTCAATTTAAACGACAATCGTTCATGGGAATGATCGAAAACTGACATCCCTAGTACACACTGCAAATTTTCAGGAGTGACAACTACATTTAAATATGGGAGCGAATCCCTAAATTATCATTTTGTGTGTGAGAGAGAACTTACTCTTGAAATTTCGATGATTGACATGTTTTGCTATCTCATGTGTTTGGTATCCCCTATTTTTGACAAAAGTAATATTACAGCAACCAAAGACTTATGTTTGCTGATTTCACACCGTCGTGATTTGTTTATGTTTAGAACATGGGTGTCCAATCCTAATTAAACACACCTGAACACACATACCTGGCATACTAGAAACTTCCAGGCAGGTGTGTTGAGGCAAGCTGGAGCTAAACTCTGCAGGACAGTGGCCCTCTAGGACCGAGTATGGACACCTCTGATTTAGAAGGATTGCCATGTCCACTTATTATAAGCAATGCTTATTAAGCATCTTTTGGACTTGTTTAGGCCGGCTCAAAAAGCGATCCATATTATGGAGATAAAGTAGGCAGGTGCAGGTTGTGATAATTTGGTATGCTGCTTATTTCCAAGATAACACATTTGGATTTCATTTTTATTATGGGCTTGTTCTTATTTGCCTTTTTTTATAGCAAGATCTGGTAACACTGAATTAAGAAGTACCTCCTTCCCTGTGTGTGGTTGTCGCTACCATAAATTACTGAACTGTGTGTGTACAGAACAGGATTAAGCACTAAAAGGTAAACTGACAACCAAATTTAGCTGCAGTGTATACGCCACCATTATCATCATGCTTATCCAACTAACATTAGTATTGTGTCAATTTTAAGTAATTCACTTAATTAATTTTATAAATGTTGTATAAGTTTCATTTAAGATATATGGTTATGAAAAAGCATTTTTTTAAAAAGATATAATAATATTCAAATCCTCTCCCACTTTGAAGTTCTCACCTGTGCAACATTAATAAAGCTAGTTGCTGGTATTTCTGGTCCCTTCCAGTGAGGAGAACATGAAATATTAAAAACAGGTTGACCGTGTCCTTACCTTCATGTACGCAGCCTCGGTCTCTGCGATGGTGCGGTCAAAGTCAGCGCGGGCAGCAAGGCGGCGTGCCAGGCTCTCGTTCACACGACTCAGCTTCTCTGTTAGCACACGGATATCATGCTGCAGACGAGTTTTCTCTGCTTCCTCCTGCTGGATCAGCCGGTTCAGCTCTTCTCTTTTAGAACACAGTTCCTCTATGCCTGAGAAAGACAAGGAGGATGAAATGGGACACTTCCTAAAATAAATTAAAAGGCAGCTTCAGGCACATGCCGAAAATATGTTTCAGTAGTGTTTTCCTTGTGTTTCTTTACATTCATGTTGTGATAGCTGAAAGGGAGTGTGTATAAGTTGCAGATGAGAGCGTGGTCAGCAGTTCCTCCTACTAATTAGAGCAATAATGTGCAGAACTTTATCAAACACTGATTCAAGCAGTCAGGTCACTATGTGAATTCTAATGCATCACACCATGTTCAATGATTGTGAAACAAATGTATTGATGGACTGGCCATCTGTCAAGTGTGTTTCCCCAACTTACCCTATTTTGTGTGTGTGTGTGTGTGTGCACCTGTGAAAAGAACAGCATTTATTCAAAATAGAATTGTAACAATATACACTCCACCATTCAAAAGTTTGGGGTCAGCATTTTTTTCCCAATAAATTAATACTTTTATTCAGCAAGGATGTTAAAGTGATAGTAAAAACATATATTGTTACAAAATATTTATATTTTGAATAAATGCTGTTCTTTTGCACTTTTATTCATCAAAAAAATCCTCAAAAAAATATCACAGGTTCAAAAAATAATAAATAAAATTAAGTGGCATAACTGTTTCCAACACTGATAATAAATCAGCATATTAGAATGATTTCTGAAGTATCATGTGACACTGAAGACTGGAGTAATGGCTTCTGAAAATTCTGCTTTGCCTCCACAGTGATAAATTATATTTTAAAATATATATAAAAAAAGAGAAGTTATTTTAAATTGTAAAAATTATATGAGTTTTTTTGCTGTATTTTTGCAATAATAATAATAATAATAATAATAAATACAGCTTTCATGCGCATGAGACTTCTTTATTAAAACAATGTCAAATACAAATACTTCTTGTACTAAGACAAATAGCATAAGAACACTTTTTTCAAAGAGGATTTTTATTTATTTTAGCGAATTCCTTTTAAATCTTTAAACTAGAACAGATATAAAACAGATATCATGTTCATAGTTCTTGTGATGAACTACACCTGTGGTTACTCTGCTGGGAACCTGTGTCAACTTCGAAGGAGAACTGACTTATTTAATGCAATGACACTGACATACACGTGTCCAAATTCTTCTTGAAACCACTGAATGTTATTTAATGAATTCCTTGCGTTTCTCCAGAAGCTTCAAAGGACATCATATTGATGTCTCTTACAAAAACACACGTCTTCTTTGCAATCAATTGGTTATTAAAGCTGTTCTTTCAGGGAAAGAAGAAAGGCACAGGTTGATAGGTGTCACACTAGTCTTCTAATCACTTCTAAGCTTGTATAATGACTACAAATGTCAAGGTAGACTAGCTGCATTCAAGTTTCTTCTACCCATGACAAGTACATGCAACTAGAAGAAAAACATATAAAAAAGAAAATCTATGCTCCCCCTGACAGCAAAATGAAACGTCTTGGTCGATGGCTACTTACACTTGACAAGCTCATTGTTGTAGGTTTGCAGTGCAGCTCCTTGCTGGGTCATTCTGATTAGCAGGCTAGCTCGCTAACTACAAGAAAAGCCTGCCTGCACTGGTTTAATCACAAAAAAGCGTTTCATGCAGCTTAGCAGTGAAGTCTGTTAACTTGTTGCACCTTCTGAGTCAGATTAATGCTTTAATTAGCAAGCCACGAATTTACCGGGCGTTAAATCGTACACATCTGCGAGGGGAGTAACTTTAAAGAAAACATTCCAGAAGCGGTTAAGTCAAGTCTCCCCCCTGTTTCCCTGGGAACGATTAAGAAGCGCCACCACGACGGTTTCCGTTAGACTTTTATTAGTATTATTTTTTAAATATAGGATAGAGTTGTATAAAAAGTTACTATAAAAACAATATCAAGATCTTCATCTGAGAGTGCCAAAGCACACTTATAATTTATTATTATTATTATTATAATTATTAAAATAATAATTATTACTACTACTACTAATACTACTTCTCCTTCTTGTATTATTATTATTACTTTTATTAATATCATTTAGATGATTATCAACATCCGGCAACGTGTCGTCATCGGGGCGCGACAGGCGTTTGAAGAAGAGCGTTAAAACGTAATTAGTCGGCGTAATAACTGATGAGGATCTTTTGAATGGCTTTCGTAATATGATGTTGGACTAAACAGTCACGGAGTAAAATGAATATCCACATATGGTAACGGCACAGAATATAATACTTTTCACCCAGGGTATATGACTATTGTTTACAACCTGAGCCTCGGTGCATCTCCGGAATGAACGAGGTGCAGTCAATGCCGCTGGGGCTGTCAGCAGCCTGGGACACAGTGACATCTGCACTGGTGAGTGTTAGACATACACAATGTAACTAGGCGGTAAAACGGATGCTGATATCACTTCTAAGCCAAATCCAGCTTCTGATGTTAGCTACATTAACAAGACAAGTAACGTTACCTTGGTACTTGGACATGGTTATAGCATTGTTGAAGTACCTTTGAGTGCCAAAAGCTGAAACCCAACCATGACTCTTTAGGTGTCTCCTGTGCCACCAAGTGTTTCGACTGATGTGGTTCTCTCTGAAGCCTTGGCCCTGCTGAGTGTACATGGACTGGGTCAGTATGTGGAGGGATGGCTGCTGGAGACTCTGCAGGTGCGTTTGACTACTTCTGTTGCTCCAGAGTTCTGGACGGGGCTCAAGCAGCCTGAGGGGGAGTCACAGGAGAGGGACAGGGCAAAGGCTTTACTCGCAGCCTTCAGAAACCTTCTCCAAGAGCTGCAACCTTTCCTCGGTATGTCACACCCTACTCGATGGCAACCATTTTATTAACATATTAATTAATATACTAATATAGCGTACATGTATTTGAAAAACAGATGTTAGACATGTATAAGGTTTGCTTATTGTTGCAGTTGTGTTATAATTATTATTGAGGGGGGGAAAAGAAACATGATTTCAGTTTATGTATCCTGATTCTGTGCTTTAAAAAAAAAAAAAGATAGATTGTTTAAATATATTAATATATAATAATATCAATATTAATTAATAACAATAACTGAAATAGTTTTAAGTCATCCTGTGGACCCCATAGAAGTTTGTAGAGTCCCCCTAGTTGGCCCCTTTAGGTCTTAAAATGTCTTAATTCACTCTTCCACAAATTAAGGCCTTAAAATGTCTTAAATTAGAGCCCAAAGTCTTAAATTCATAAAGTCATGGCATTAAATGTTGCATGCACCACAAAAAAATGAATATTTCCTCAGTATTTATATCCTGTTTTCCAGGACAAAGATTGAAACTTTCTTAAATCAAGATACATTTACGTGAGTTGCAAAATGAAGATATGAAGGCTGAGAAACAGAACAAAATTAAGTGAGTTTATGCTTAAAACTATAACAAATATGTATCTGTCAGTGGGGTATGAAAACTTCAAATTATAAATCATAAACTTGATTAATTGAAAACAAGTAAATCTATCTTGGTTTATGAATCTTTAGACATTTGAACTGGAAAACAAGACAAAAATACAGAGGAAGAACATTACTTTTTTGCATTGTGATCAGAGGGTACAGTAAAGGTTATTTCCATATTGTAGTATTTGCGAGCAGAGCTATTCAAGCTTTGAGCGATTGTTTTTGTGAAATTAATTTAAAAAGAATGGAGATCTGTAGGAAGTTGTATTTTCAAACTTTTAAGTGTTGCTAAAACAACTCATTGTGTTTTTCCTAGACATTTAGACATTGTGTTCCCTTCAATTTTGTTACCTTACATTTTCAATTTCCATAATGTGAAATCTAAAAAGTTCTGATGTCTTAATGTATTTATTTATAATTTTTACTGTTGATTTCAGGGGAAATTGTGGCCTGGATTTCTTTGTGAGGTTCATCCTGTCCATTGTTTCTTGAGTCTACTGTGTTAATCTTACTTTCCCTTTTTTATTTTTCAAGGTGGTCTTGAGAGACTGGGCTCATGGCAGGATGAGAGCCGTGGGGGTTTTTCTGGTTCAGGGGCCCATGGTTTGACTGAGAGAGCTTTCTCTGTCATTCGTGCCATTCTACTGTTCTCTCCTTCACCTGTGCTGCATGAGCGTGTGTTGGAGTTTTACAGCCGCACATTCTCCGTACACATGAGGCAGGCAGGGGAAGCTGTGGAGGCTGAGGAGGGCACAGCGGAACATGATGAAGGCAGTTTGTGCCCAGGCTGTGCCACCCTCCCTCACCTGTGTTGGTGTCTGGAAGCTCTAGAGCAACTTCAAGATCTCAGCCACATACTGTGAGTTGAAGAGAAGTACCGTTCTGATAATACTACATATGTTGCACTTTCCTTTGTTGTTTAGCCACTACTTACATAATGTTGATGTGGTGTAAGAGTCTTGTATGTCTGTGTAAGTCAAATTGTGTCAGTGTTTGGAATGGAATACTAGCATGCTGCATAATACACAGGACATGCTGTTTACTACTTACTAGCTTTTTAAAATAGATTGTAACAGCATGCAGTATTCACAGTGTGTAAGTTGAATTTGACACCTTTAAAGAGATGTTCTGAGTCCAATAAGAGGAGAAGCAATGTGCTCAATGAAAAACATTTTCGTTGCACATATTCATCAGTGTCACAATAGACAATAGCATGACAAATTCTACTTTTAGAGAATTATTTACCATATTGCATCTAATGAAACTGACTCAAAAAGTTAACTTAAAAAATCCTATATACTGAATAGAATAAAGCATTAATATGTGTGCTAACATTCATAGACATCCACAGCTATTACTGCATAACAATAACATTTGGAAGAATATCAAATACATCAGTCAAAATTCTTTTTACAAAAAATGTTGTCATTACATATCCACAGGAGAATTATTCATCAAATCTAGTATCCATTAAACAAACGTGTCCTACAAAAAGGTATCGTACAAGAAGTAGTAAATACAAAACAGTCACTTGATTACCAAAAATGTATCAAAAATTACATGATATTTATCAGTGTGATATAATTGTCTTGTTTATATTAATCAAAATTCCATAAAAGAGAATATGATTAAGATATTACAGAAAACATCTGAGAGACAAATCTTCCTTCATTCCCTAGGAAACACAAACTTAAAGGGGTCATATGATGTTGCTAAAAAGAACATTATTTTGTGTATTTGGTGTAATGAAATGTGTTTATGCGGTAAGGTTCAAAAAACACATTATTTTCCACATACTGTACATTATTGTTTCTCCTCTATGCCCCGCCTTTCTGAAACGCATAGATTTTTACAAAGCTCATCGGTCTGAAAAGCGAGGTGTGCTGTGATTGGCCAGCTATCCAGTGCGTTGTGATTGGCCGAATACCTCAAGCGTGAGACGGAAATGTTACGCCCCTTACCATACTACGATGCCGTGTCCCGGAGCGACGAGACAAAAACAATAAAAACCCATTATAAACGAGGCATTTGTTGCATCCAGTGGGGACATAATTACGGATTATAATGACTTATACTGTCTTTTTACGCGTTGCGTTGCATCGTGCCGCGTAAACATAAAACCATGTCTGCATTTGTGATCGGAGAAATGACAAACAACAAGCGCTACTCTACACTGCTCAAAACTCGCGTTTGAATCATCAGTGTCAAATTCTTTAAATATGAAAACATAATTACAGTCTGCGAGTCAGAACAGCCGGCATTGTAGTCTACTCTCACAGGATCAGGAAACAGTCCTCCCAGCAACAATAAAGTTACGCCTTCTTTCTTTGCGTGAACATTTGTTATGCAAATCTTCCCAAATCGTGACGTAGACATGAAACGAGGCGTTTTAGGAGGGCGTGGACCAGTCTTAACTTTTATAAAGAATATCTCTTTGGGTTTGAGACTTTAGTCTTTGCAACTTTAGGGATCTTATCTATTCACGAATAGCTTGTAACACTCCAAAGAGAAAGGAAAACTTGAAATCGCATCATATGACCCCTTTAAAATGGAATATCCATCTGGATTCTTTCTGAAGAGGAACACTCTCCAAATAAAAATTTTCTGGAATTAAATCAGATGATTTTGAACCTTTAAGTAAGGGTGTGTGATATTGATAAAAATATTATATTTCAATATTTTGTGGGATTTCAGCTGATTAATTTAAATGACTGATTTATTCAGGAATGAATCAAGTGACTGTCTTTATGAATGGCTCATCATTGAACCTTTGACTCGCCTTATTTGCTCAAAAATGCTGAATTCAATTACGAAAAGTATGTCACTTGGAGACGCGCAGCGGTTCTGTTGTGGCTTTGTTTGAATATATTTTTGTTGCTGAAATAGAGCAAAAAACAATTTGCAGTATCTTTAATTTGGGGGGCATTCCAACTGCATTCTAATAGGTTACAAGCACGCAGAGAAAACACGCTCTCAAGGTGTGTGTGTGTGTGTGTGTGTGTGTGTGTGTGTGTGTGTGTGTGTGTGTGTGTGTGTGTGTGTTTTTTTCTTTTGTAAAATGAGTGATATACTCAATAATGTCAGCTTGCACATTGTTAAAACAACAATTGCAATGTTATTATAAACAATACATATTGTACATACCTACTTTTTATCCAGTTTTTCTTTCTCTTTCTTTCTATTTTTTTGTAAAACTCTTATGACATGTTATCACAGTCTGATCAAATGAGTCAAGAGATGTTGAGCTCACTGCATTTTTACATTATTCGCCTCATACAGAAAATTTGCATATCGTGTGATATACATTTCACTTTGTTGGAGAGGTAGATTGTTAGGATATATAATGCCTTCATTAATGTCTTTTGTGCTTTCAGCTCCAG